GACTGGGTAAAATTTGTTTGATAGTAAGTTAGAGCTGAGCTCTCCTTTCTCACTCCACACCACTGGGTAACTGCCCTCTCCCACCCTGGCAGAAGACTAGAGTCTCATTCTCTGGAAAGGGTAAAGCAGAAAGTGTTTCAACTGGGAAATATCTCACACATTTGAGGATGAAGTTGCCATACTGAAAGCATATAGATTAAGTACATTTATTCATACTGAATAAAGCCTGCAGAAACCCCACCACTATCACATGTGCACACACACACACACACACACACACACACACACACATCTCTTTTCTTTCACTCAGCTCCCTAAGTGCTGACAGCCAAACTACTACCTTCCAGGCAAAATATTGGAAAACTACCAGCTGAAGAGGAAAGATTTAAATATGGTTTCCCAGCCAAGGCTCACCTAGGTCCCTTTACTCTAATGCTAAAGTTAACAAGTTCATCCACAAACTTAGATCCTCCAAACAAATTTTTAATTCCTTACTCTTAATCACGAACAGACACTCAAGCATCGTCAGGCATCTGAGGAATCCTCCAACATGGATGATAGAGACCAAAGCAAACAAACCGCAAGAAACAACCTGGAGGACACAGAGATAAGGTAGGAGAAATAGACTTAAACAACCTATCATTAACATCTTCAGAGAGTCAAAAGATGATATGCAACAATTAAGAACAGACTCTTTGCAGAAACATTCAGAGAACAAAAAAGAGCTCTTGAAAATTAAAATATGATAGCAGAATACAACAGCGGTGTGGAAGATAAGCTTGAGGAAATCTTTAAGAAATAGAACGAACGACAGAAAGATGAAAAGAGGAGAGAAAGATAAGAAAACTGGAGGATCAGTCTAGGAGATCTGATATTGGAACCCATGTCTTAGAATGAGAGACCAGTGAAATACAGGAGAAAAATTAATCAGCAAAATAATTCAGGAAAAATCCCCTAGAGTGAAGGACATACGTTTTCAGATACAAAGGCCACCTCAGTGTAAATCACAGTAGATGAATAGGCATATCATTACAAAATTTAAGAACACTGAACATAGAGAGAAGATCTTAAAAGCTCCCACATAAGAAGATAAGGAGTCAGAATTTCTATAGCTTTCTCAAGAACAACTCTAGAAACTAGAAACAGTGGAAATAATTTCCAATCAAAAATTCCATATTAAGACAAATGATTAATTAAGTGGGAAAGTAGGATAAAGACATTTTCAGATACACAAAATTTCATTAAATTAATTTCCCATATGTTCTTCTTCACAAAGTTACCGGCATATTGTACCAGCAAAGTGAGGGAGTAAATAAAGAAAGACAAAAAAAATGATACACAGGAAATGGGAAATCCAGTTCAGGGTGACTGTTGTTGACCAGAACTAGGATATAATTTGTTCAAATTGGAGAGGCTTAAAAATTTGTGTCTAAAGGGATGGCCAGGTGGCTTAGCTGGTTAAGCATCTGACTCTCAGTTTCTGCTCGGGTCATGATCTCAGGGTTGTGAAATTGAGCCCCGTGTTGGGCTCCTGTGCTGGGTTTGGAGCCAGCTTGAGATTTGCTCTTTCCCTCTGCCCCTTCCCCCGGGCCCTCCCCCCACTGCTTGCACATGTTCTCTCTTTAAAAAAATGTGTCTAAGAATAGTGCAAGACTCCACATCTGTAAGTATTTTTTCTTATGGAATGAACAGGCAGACATGGTGAAAGCCAACGAATTTTATTTTTATTATAAGATGCACAATAATGCTGGTATATGGGTGAGACTAAAAACTGATACAATAATGTTTTTAATATGAAGGATTATCTTGAAGGCTGGTTTCTCTCTTGTCTTAGCAGAAGTCTTATGTTTAGGCTGTTTAGTTAGGTGTAGAATAAAACCAAATCTACCTGAATGAGGGAGAAAATGTGTACACGTACATGCACACATACGTTTATCTATGTATATGTATATATGTTCACTATTTTTATGTATGTATATGTACACACACACACACACACACACACACACACACACACATAGGCAGAGTGTGTCTATGGAAAGATACATAAGAACCTGGAGATCATAGTTGCCTCTGTGTGGCTAGGGAAAAGGAATGTGAGGCGACCTTTTTTCTTCACATTTACCTGCTTGTTCCTTTTGATGATTTGGACAGAAGGCAGGATAAGAGAGACAGTACACTGGGATCAGTTGGGTAGCAATAGCCATGCTCTTATACTCTTATAATGAGGAAATAAGGACCCAAATGACAAAAGAAACTGTAGTTGCTGAAGTCAGAGGAATATTTGCTTGGTCTTGTGATAACCAAATGTGGCAGGGAGGTGGGGTGGCAGTGGGTCCTGAGGGAGTGGTTGGAGGGGAGTAGTCAGAGATGACTCTTTGCTTTCTAGCCCAGGTTAACAAATGTAAGAACAGTGAGTGGATGAAACTGACTTCAGAATGTCAGAGGGAGGAGGGTGGATTGCAAAAGAGTAAGTGGTAGGGGTGGAGGGGGATGAGTTGGAGGCAGCAGTTGTAGTTCTCTTTCCCCCTGAGCACAAACTCGTTTATTTATTTATTTATTTTGGTTTGCCAGTTCTTCTTTAATGATGAATATAAAAACTTTTCACATCTAAACTTTCAGCATGGCAAGTAGTTTCTTCTTAAATTTATTGTCTTAAAGTCCATTTAGTTTCTCAACCCTTTGGGGAGAGTGGGAGATATATGATTAAAATTTCCCCATCTACACAAATTTTACTGTGTTCTTTTTTTAATTTAAATTCAACTAATTAACATATAATGTATTATTAGTTTCAGAGGTAGAGGTCAGTGATTCATCAGTCTTATATAATACCCAGTGCTCATTACATCATGTGCCAAAAACTCATTTCTGTTGACCATATCATGTGCCTTATCACCCACAGCTTCTGGAAAACTCAGTGATGCATTCTCTGGAGGCACCACCTCAGAGGGCTGGTGGTGGGGACTGCAGTGCAGGATGTGGTGTAGGCACTTAATCTGCAACCAGCCAAAGTGTTGTCTCTTCTATGGCTGGGAAACAAAGGGGTAGAAAGAGTGAAGCTTTTGCAAACCTTTCCCCAGCTCTGTCACTTACTAAGTTAGTGACCTTAGGTTAATCACTTTGACCTGTCCATGTCTAGGTTTCCTCATCAGCGAAATGATCATACTATCCCCATACCTGCATTACAGGGTCATTGTGAGGAATAAATGGGATAATGAGTTTAATAGTTTAGAAGAGTCCCTGATACAAGGTGAGTACTAGGAATGTTAACTTTGATAACCTTTCTTGGCTTTTCTTTCCCCAGATTTAGAACATAGAAAATCTAGAGAATTTAACATACAAAGGAGGGATGTTTTTGCCAGAAGCACATTATGTTTCATTCAGTCTTTGAACAAATAGCTTTGAAGTACTCTTAGGTGCCCAAGTATTCATTGGTAAAGAAATTAGATACCTTGGTGCCCTCACAGAGCCTGGAGTTTTCTTTTTTCCAGAATTTTCCTGGGTCTTCTCACATGCCATATATATGCGCTACATGTAGCAATATATGTTAAGTGCATGCTATACGCTAAGTGCATATATATATATATATATATACATGTATTTACTTTTAGTTCAGGTATAATAGGCATATAACATTGTATGAATTTTAAGTGTACAACATAATAATTTGATATATGTGTATATTGTGAAATGATTGACACAGTAAGTTTAGATAACATCCATCACCACACATAGGTACAAACTTTTTTTTCTTATGATGAGAACTTTTAAGATTTACTTTTTTGGCAACTTTAGAAATATACAGTATAGTTATATGCATTCATTTTATAATCAAGGTATTTTAAAGAATATTTTACATTAAGCTTTTGTTTAATGCACATATGAGAACATAATTTAAAATTATAGAATTTAAAAAATTACAATCTGAAAAGCAAGTATCGCTTTCTTAACTCCAAATTTCCCAGTTATCTCCAGAAAGAACCTCCTTTGTTTGATTTTTTATGTCTCATAACTAAGATAAACATTTAGAATTATATAAGCCCCTCTTTCTTATGTAATAGGTAAGGGAAAAGGGAAGAGGAGAGGGTTTGGGATGAGCCAGAGGCCTCTTGCCAGGGTGACCGGAGAATGAGGCTTCCATGGAGAAGTTAAGAGGGAGGAAGTACATTAGGAGGACAGAGGAGGTAATGTCAGACTATAAGGGTTGAGTAGTTCTGTTGAAGTAAAAGCAGAAAATGGAGACTTTTAAATCAATTTAAGAAAAATTTATTTAGAGCTCACTGTATAAAACATGTTAGGAACCAACAAGATGCTTAGAGCCTAATGAAAGCAGAGGCAAGGCACAACACACAAATGGTGATATTAAAAGGCAAGCATGGCTAGCACAGCTGTCTACAATCTTCTAGGTTCCTTTATGTAGAATAAGAAGAAATATTTCTGTGGGTTGGGCCTCCCAAAGTTCTTTCTGGGTTTGGACTGAGACTGCTCCATCTGTTAGTGATGCTTCCCTAGAGCCAGGCTTACCCAATTCATTTCTACTGGGCTAGCATAGTCCTCTTGTCCACCCAGTTTTCCCATCGTTGAGAATGACATAGACAGTCCTCAGACACAAATTTGCGAGCCCTACTCTGGGCCAGTTGAGCCCTTCCTAGGACACCTGCCAACTATGTTGGCCTCTGGATGATTTGCATTTTGGTCCTCCTAATTCCACTCTAGCTCCTTCTCTCTCAGCCATGAGTTGGAAGAGTCCTAAACCTCCTTCCATTTATCCCATATCAAGATGATAGCTCCTCCTCCCTGGCTCCGCCTCTAGCCAAATGGAACATCACAATAATGGAATATTATCCAAACTTCTCACCAAACACCAGGGATGGTGCTGTCTGTCTTAAGTCCTTTTGGACAGTCTGTTCACTTGTTGCTTTCTGGAGCTAGACAGGACACTCATGTGCATCTCTGTTGGTTAAGAGCTTTCCTTTCCTTTTTTTTTTTTTTTTTTTTCCTTTCTCTCTTTTGAGTATTGTGATCTATCAATTGGCTCTTGAACACTTGCCCTGGGCCATCATCTCAGTCATTTCTTTCAAGAGGAGAAGTAGGGTTCACAGTGCATGGTGTTTTCCTGCTTTAGCTCTCTGCTAAGACTTACCAGTAGCTTGCTGGGCAGCTGGATCCTCCTCAGATTAGCAGCAGCCCAGATAGAAGTGGCTCCAGGATTCAGAGTGGGTTCTATCCCCATCGTTCCTAATTTTCCAAATTTTGAATTGGTCTGCTCAGTGTTATCATCCTACTAAAACACCGTTTTCCTACTGATCCTCACAGAGCACTGGGTAGATTTTTCTCAAGGCACAGTAATTAAAGTACACATGATTAAGGTACACATCTCTTTATGTTTCAAAATATTACTAGCAACACTGTAAAGCCATAACATACATAACTCCCACCCAGACTGAAGAGGTAGTCACTCTATACAAGATGGAATGAGGTGCTGTTTTAGAACTAAGCACAGATAAAAGCCATTATTCTAGTAATTGAGAGTTCTACATAAAACACAATTTATAAAATTAAGAAAAGAAGGCTGAATCTGAAACAAGAGGTGTTAGTCTTAAACATTTGTCCTGAGCCAGGAGCCAGTCAGGTGAGGTTGGGCCACAAGTGTGCTCTGAAATGAAAAGAAGCAGTTAAAATCTGCTCCTGGCATAGGGAGCAGAACTGGCATTATAGGGAGGCTCTCTCCCTTAGAGAAAGTCCTGGATCCCCAGCTATTTTTAATGGTAATAATAATAGTAATGGACAAGAAAAAAGGCAAGCCAAAATTTGAAACTGAACGCATATAAACAACGGATGGTCAGACTTTAATTAAAAATGTGTAGTACTTTGGTCGCCTGAGGTTGTCTTCGAAATGTTAACACACTGGGCCTCATCAGATCTTTCAGGTACATGGTATTGTACTCTGGAAAAACAATAACAGAAAAGGAATTGGGTGAGATTTCATAATAGAGCCACTTCCTTTTTCTAGATTTCAGTGAGAGGGCAGAATACAGGAGCCATTGAAATAGCAACCAGGAGAAACAAACTGTTGAAGAGAGAGGTAGAGATGTGCTGTTCTTGCTTCTTTCAATTAACTACCCTTTATTGTCATCTGGATCTGCCCCTGCCGTATATTGATTACTTGCTGCCTTCTCCCTGCAGGCTTTTCTGGACTATATCTGAACTGAGTCTAGGAGGATAGGCAAGATCTCAGCACCTGCGCTCACCATCCAGGATTCCTAGACTCAGCAGCGTGCGTATTCAGGTAGGCGCTGGGCACTCTGGGGCTGTTGACCCTGGGGTTGTGACTGTATCTTTGTGACCAAGCTCTTGACTTCGGTTTGCCTGACCCTATGGCTGTGTGTCCAGAGCCCTGATATTCTTGAGAGCCCTGCTCCTCAGGGAGGATGGAGGTACAGGTAATCTGATTTCATCATGTTGTGAAAGGACTGATTGCCAGGAATTTTTATGTATTCTTTCATGCATACATTCATTCTTTCAGCAAATATTTATTACAATAGCCAAGGTATGGAAACAGCCTAAGTGTCCATTGATAGATGAATGGATAAAAAATTGTGGCATATACATATAATGGAATATGATTCAGCCATAAAAATGAATGAGATTTCACAATTTGTGACATCATGGATGGACTTTGAGAACATTATGATAAGGGAAATACCTCAGACAGAGAGAGACAAACACCGTGTGATCTCTCTTATATGTGGAATCTAAAAATAAATAATAAAAACCCACTTCATAGACACACAGAGGAGATTGGTGGTTGCCAGAAGTGGGGGGTGAGGGGTGGGAGAATGGGTGAACTTTTTTTGTTTTTAGTCTGAATAAATTGAATTTAAAAACAACTAAAACTTGGGGTGCCTGGGTGGCTCAGTGGGTTAAGCCTCTGCCTTCAGCTCAGGTCATGATCTCAGTCAGGGTCCTGGGATCGAGCCCCACCTCGGGCTCTCTGCTCAGCAGGGAGCCTGCTTCCCCTTCTCTCTCTTGTCTGCCTCTCTGCCTACTTATGATCTCTCTCTGTGTGTGTTAAATAAATAAATTAAATATTTAAAAAAACAAACAACTAAAACTTGAACTCTTAAAGAAAAGCACCTCATCACATTATGTCTTCTAGGGCCCCTAGTAGTGGACAAAAGAGAACATAAAGAAAAGGATATACATATTTCCCCTGTGCCATATTTAGGATTGCTTTTTTGGATTTGATTAGGTAAAGAATCTACAAAGTAAGTAAATAAATGAAAAATAAATAAAAATCAAACAACTTATACTATTGCTTAGCTGAAAGCAAATGTAAGAGAAGCTAAACCTTGATGAATAGCACTTATGTTTCCATGAAACTCTTTTCAATGTGTTATATATTTATCAAACCACTACAGTGCAAATTTTCTGAATAAGTCCTGTTAACTGTAAACCAGGAGGTGCCATGAAATTACACCTACAGAAAATTGTTAGTATTATAAAAAGACTACTTTCTATGGATTAAAAAATATCTGCTGCTACAACTTCACAGTAGAAGAAAATTTATTAAGCTCCTACTATATGCCAGGTACTGTGCTAGGTGCTGGCAGCACAACAATAAGCTTAACTGATATGATCTCTACTCTCTATAAAGTTTGGCATAGTTCATAGAGTTTAATGGATAAACTGTATGGATAAACTTTTGTGTAACTGTAATTATGCAAAAATGTAAGTATTACCTCGTGTTATGGAGAAAAAGCAGAGGAATCCATATGACACAATAACAGGCTAACATATTCTAGTTTAAAAAAGAGGGTTTTTTTTGTTTGTTTGGTTTTTTTTAGATGTGCAGTTTGAACCGAGATCTGAAGAATGAGGTAAAGAAGTGGCCAAAGAATATTCTAAGCAGAGGACGCAGCGGATGCAAAGACACTGAAGCTAAAGGGAACACGTTGTCACTCCTCACTTATTTACTTGTTCATTCCACACAGGTAGGATTCCCATGAGTCCAGGCACCAGGATAGGTACTGGGGTTACCATGGTGAATAATATACAGCTCATGTACACAACACAGACCCATTTGGTATTAAATTTTTAATTTTCCTTGACTCAGCTTGCCATGCCACTTGAGCCTTGTGTATTGGACATCCTGCCATCCATTTATAGCTAGAACATTTCCTTCCAGATCCTAGCTTTCCTTTCCTTCTCCATTAGTTCATGGTTGCTGAGGTGTCAGCATGCCTCAGACTTAACGGATGGTCAAGTTAAAGATCCTCTGGAGATGGTACCTATTTCAGCAGTGTTGTAAGGTCAGGACTCACCTTTCCTTGGTCTGTTCGCTCTCTTTTCTCCCCACTTTGTTGGTTCCTGAAAGAGACCAAAACAACTTCAGAAAATGTACTGCCTATAGATAGTAAAAGAGGGGAAGTTTGAAGAGAATTCAAAATCCTAGGACTCCGAGAAAAATCATTGTGTCCTTATATGTGAAACAGATGCTATCTGATGCAACTGAGGTTTTTTGCATCCAAAAACCAAATACCTTCCTTTATTCACTGTGGAAATGGATTTTTCACTTACAGCTCTATTCTTTACTAAAATAAAAATACTGCTGGGAGGGGTAACACACTTAGTTTTAGCTATCATTTAGTGATTGGAAAAGTTTTCAGTCCTTTTCTGAAAGTAAGGTCTAGAAGGAGGAAGAAAAGTAAATCTTGGAAATGTTGATGCCTAAATGGGTGAGTCAGCTGGCACTACCAATATAACACGGGGTGGCATGGATGGGCCCAAGTGGGAAATCTCTAACTGCCTAGACCCCCCAAAGCCCGAGTTGCTATTGGTATGGGCTTACTACTGAAGCAACTTGGTTGACTGTTGTGAAAAAGTCAACAGTCTTTTTTGGTTTGGTTGACTGTTTCTTTTGGTTGACTGTTGTGATGATGGTTTTGTCCAACTCAGAGCCTTGCAGCAAGGGTTGTTAACCTGGGTGTCCATGCAGGACTTTAGGGAGGGAAACAACACCCTTGATGGTTTTGAACACTTACTACCATTGGCAGTTTTCAGGTGTGTGCACATGTGTGTGCTTAAAAATAATCAGCTTTACTGAGGTATAATTAATACACAATAATTTCCTGTATAGATTTTGGTGAGTTTAGCAAATGTATACCCTCATGTAACTACCACCATCACCAAGATATAAAACATTTCTATAAGCCCCAAAAGTTCTCTCCTGCCCCTTTTCAGTCAGTATCTTTCCCCATCCCATCGCCTGATAACTACTGATCTGGTTAATGTCACAATAGTTTTGCATTTTTTAGAATTTTATAATTCTAAATGATCACATATGTGTGGTCATGTGGTCTTTTTGTGCCCAGCGTCTTTCTCCTAGTATGCTGCTTTTTTTTTTCACCATAGAGATACTTTAATGAAGTGTTTTAGAAAATTCTAAATATTATCTGATTTATACAAGTTTAAAACCTATTGGTAACACAAAACAAGAAACAACTATATTAAAAATTTAGACAAAAAGCTCAGAAAATGCACCATTTCCCGTTATATTCTTCAGGGAAATGCAGTTATTAACTTTATGTTTGGTATTTGATATCACAATGTAATTCTTGACTTAATGTTTGCCAAAAAAATCACTTTGATTGGTTGTCCTCTTCTAAGCTAAGTAACTCCAAAGGGCTAGAATCCAAGATTGATAAAGAGCTTAACAAACTCAACACCCAAAAGACAAATAATCCAGTCAAGAAATGGGCAGAAGATATGAACAGACATTTCTCCAAAGAAGACATACAAATGACCAACAGACACATGAAAAAGTGCTCAATATCACTCATCATCAGGGAAATACAAATCAAAACCGCAATGAGATAGCACCTCCCACAGGTCAGAATGGCTAAAATTAACAATACAGGAAACAACAGATGTTGACGAGGATGTAGAGAAAGGGGAACCCTCTTAACACTGTTGGTGGGAATGCAAGCTAGTACAGCCACTCTTGAAGACAGTATGGAGGTGGCATACTGCTTTTGAAATTCATTATCTTGTTGCATGTTACTAGTAGTCTTTCTAGAGCTCGGCAGAATTTCCTTATATGAATATACTACCGTTTATATATTTATCCTTTCACCAACGGATGAAAATTTAGAATGCCAAGCTTTCAATATTATGAAGAAAGCTGCTATGAACATTGGTGTGTGTCTTTGTGAGGACATATGTTTTTATTTCTCACGAGCAAATATCTGAGATTGCTGGGTTGTATAGCAGTGCATGAGAGTTTCAATTGTGTCACATCCTCTCCAGCACTTGATATTTACCAGTCCTTTTAATTTTAGTCATGTTAGTGGGAGTGTAGTGGTCTCTCATTATAGTTTTAACTTGTATTTCCCTAATGACTAATGATGTTGTGACTGTGTGACTGTGCTTATTGGCCATTTGTATATTTTACTCTATGAAGTATGTGTTCGAATCTTTTGCTCCCAGCCTTTTGTTAAATGGATTGTCTTCTTTATTGGGTAGTAATATATAATTACATCTTATGGATATAAGTCCTATTGAGATATATATTTTGCAAACATTTTCTCCTAGTCTGTGGCTGGCTTGACTTTTAATTTTCTTAACAAAGTCAAAGGGCAAACGTTTTCAATTTAGATGAAGTTCAGTTTATCAATTTTTACTTTTTATGCTATGCTTTATGTTTACTGTGTCCTAAGATCTGCCCAACCTAAGATCACAAAGATTTTCTCCAAAATTTTTTTAAGTCTTTTAATTTTAGCTCTTAATTTTAGGTCTGACATCCACTTCAAGTTGTTTTTTGTGAGTTGAGATTCATATTTTACCATGTGCATATCTAGTTGTCCCAAAACCATTGTTGAAAAGACTAGCCTTTTCTCCATGGAATTACCTTGGCTCCTTTGTCCATATCAGCTCACCATGTGATTTTCCTTTTGATTATCCATCTAGTTCCCTTGGTTGGTATGTCTGTGCTTTCACCAATATCACACTGTCTTGGTTATGTAGCTATTTAATAAATCTTTTCTTTTTAAGTTTTTATTTACTTTTAAAATTTCTTTTCAGTGTTCCAAAATTCATTGTTTGTGCACCACACCCAGGGCTCCATGCAATCTGAGGGTTTTGGGGAGCAGGGGGGTGGGAGGTTGGTTGAGCCTGGTGGTGGGTATTTAATAAATCTTGAAGTTAGTGGTATAAGTTGTCTGTGTCTGTTCTTGTTTTTCAGAATTGTTTGGCAATTGTATGTCTTTTGCATTTCTATATAACTTTTAGAATTAGCTTTTTAATTTACACTGAAGAGCCTGCCAGGGTTCTGATTGGTATCTCATTGAATCCATAGATCAGGTTGGGCTGAATTGATATCATTTTCTAAAGAGATTTTATTTATTTATTTGACAGAAAGAGAAAGAGAGCAGAAGCAGGGGGAAGGGGCGGAGTGAGAGGGAGAAGCAACTCTGGCAGAGCAGGGAGCCTGAGAGCCAGACTCAGGGCTTGGGGCTTGATCCCAGGACCCTGAGATAATGACTTCAGCCGAAGGCAGATGTTTAACCGACTCAGACACCCAGGTGTCCCTGGGCTGAACTGATATCTTAATATCTACTCCTCTGGGGGCCCTAGGTGGCTCAGTGGGTTAAAGCCTCTGCCTTTGCCTCAGGTCATGATCCCAGGGTCCTGGGATTGAGCTCCACATCGGGCTCTCTGCTTGGTGAGGAGCCTGCTTCCCCCTCTCTCTCTTGCCTGCCTCTCTGCCTACTTGTGATCTCTGTCTGTCAAATAAATAAATAAAATCTTTAAAGAAAAATTCTACTCCTCTAATCCATGAACATGGCATACTTCTCCATATATTTAGGCCTACTTTAATTTCTGTCAACAGTAATGTCTTTTAATTTTTAGTGTATACGTATTTAACTTGTTTTTAAAAACTTACTCCCAAAGTTTTAATATTATTTGATTCTACTATAAATGGTATTTAAACTTTTTTTCAGTGTCCATTTTTGGTGAGTATATAGAAATATAACTGATTTTGTTTTTGTATTTTTTTAATTCGCAACTATTTTTTTAGGAAGGAGGCTGAATATATTTTTGACTTTCCTAGCCATTTACTTCATATATGCAAATTGTTTTTGCAAATGCATTGCTTTTACGTCTTGGGACCTGTATGTTTTTATTGTGTTTTGATCCCATTCTTTCAAGGAAAGAATGGCAATTTTTTTCATGAAATATAACTGATTTTGATTTTGTGTATTGACCACAATTGTACCTGGAGACTTAGCTACATGCAGTTTGTTCTTTTTTTTAAAAGATTGATTGATTGATTGATTGATTTGACACACAGAGAGAGAGAGCATAAGCAGCGAGAATGGCAGGCAAAGGGAGAGGGAGAAGCAGACTCCTTACTGAGCAGGGAGCCTGATGTGGGACTTCATCCCGGGTCATGACCTGAGCTGAAGGCTAATTCTTCTTTTTTTTTTTTTTTAATTTTTTATTTTTTCAGCGTAACAGTATTCATTATTTTTGCACCACACCCAGTGCTCCATGCTAGTGAAGGCTAATTCTTAATGGACTGAGATACCCAGGCACCCACACAGTTAGTTCTAATAGTTTTTTTTTGATGCCTTAGGCTTTACTACAAACATGGTCATGTTATCTGTGGGCAGATATGCCCACTATGCATGCCTTTTAGTTTTTTTCCTAGACTGCTTCACTGCCTAGAACCTCCAGTACAATGTTGAAGAAATGTAGTGAGAGTGGTATCCTTGCCTCGTTCTTGATCTTATGGGGAAAGCAGTCACTCTTTTATCATTAACTATGGTGCTAATTGAAGGATTTTGGTATATTTCCTTTGTCAGTTGAGGAAATTCCTCTATAGTCCAACTTTTATGAGAGTTTTTCTTTCTTTTTTAAAATTATGAATGGGTATTAATTTTGTCAAATGCTTTTTTTGTATCCACTGATGTGATTACATGTTTTTGCTTTTTGGTTTGCCAATATGGTGAATTTTATGGTTTGACTTTCGTATATTGAACCTAGCTTATATTCCTGGAATAAACCCCACTTGATCATGATATGTCATACTTTCAATAGATTGCTAGCTTGTAGTTGGTAATTTTGTTAGGATTTTGCCATCTATTTTCACAAGATATACGTATAGCAAACTTTTCTTGTAATGTCTTTTTCCAGTTTTGGTATCAGGGCTCCCCTCTACTTTTAGAGCAGTCTGGAAACTGACTCCAGGCAGTAAGTTTGGGGCAATCATAGGCTCATCTCATCTTTATCCTTCTTTCAAGGACTACAGTTTTCTACAACTTATTGTCCAATGTCTGAAAACAGTTGTTTCATATTTTGCCTGATTTCTAGTTGTTTACAATAGGGGGGACATTCCTGTAGCTGGTAATCGTTCGTGAGAGGAAGAAGATTTTGTCTTCTATGTCATTTGAAAAGAGCCTTAACCGTTGCAAAACTCAGTCTTTTCCTTTACATCTTCTCATAACATGCATGAATTGAGATGCCCTTTAGAGCCACAGTTAAGTATGATCTTTGTATCCTATAGCAGCTCTTCAGATATTTGAAGGGAACACTTCTCTCCTCCCAAGACTTCTTTTCTGGTTATGGATTCTCAGTTACTTCAACTATTTCTTATTTAACTGAGCTTCTAGACACTTTATAAATCTGGTTAGGTTCTATTTTTTTCAAACTTTCTCTTAAAAAAGGCTTACTTCACTGAAAAAATAAAATTAAATTAAAAATACTTACTTATAACTGAATATAGTATTTCAGATGTTTGTAGACCAATATATAATATTTAAATTGTCTTTTCATACCTATGACAAAATCATCACCATTTCAAAAAAGAGTTTCTATTTTAAAATGAAGGCAGACAATAAAAAGGTAGATTCTAAACTTGTGGATTTGATTACAAATTTAACATTTTGAAGGCCAGATGTGATGATATAATCGACTTCCAGTTTTTAAGTCCTGTTAAAGTCTCTGTCTAAATAGTGGTTAAAATTACATATTTCAGAAAAAAACACTTGCCCTTTAAGAAACCATTCCTGAAAGAGCTGAGACTCTTCCAGGTTTGGTGGAGGGCAGCAAACTCTAAAAACTGTTGGTTGCTAGGGCTCTATTACATACAGATTTCAGTCACACAAGACCCAAATGAGGAAGTAAAATCTCAGGAGGAGCTATTTTAGTATCTTTCCCTGATGGGTAAGCTGATAGGGTAACTTCTGATTGGGAAAAGACTGTAATTCAAGGTTATAATTTCTCATGCCTAATTTGCCCTATTTGACAAATCAAAAAAGAGAAGAGAGATTAGAAACCAGCTAGAATAACTGTGGCATTTCCCTTTTATTCATTTAACAGCCTGACCAGAGTAAATGTGGATGTTTAGGGCATTGAAAAACTGTAATTACTGAACAAACACTGAAAAGGACTTTTGATGCCAAGTTAGTTTGAGGGCTCTCTCCTCTGAGAACCAGATTAATATTGGGCTGGGGGGAAGCTCCATTTTTGGAGAAATTCCTACTGGTTATCAGTAAGCTTGTGTGTCTGTGGATGGATCATGACTGCTTCCATGTCTGTTTTAAAGCAGAATTTAGTTCCTTGTGGTTGTATGATTGAGATCCACATTTCCTGGCTGGCTCTCAGCTGAGGGCCAGTCGCAGATTCTAGAGACCACCCACATTCTTTGTCCCATGGCCCCTTCCTCCATCTTTGAAGCCAGCAGTGGTTGGTTAAGTCTGCCTCAAGATTTGGATCTCTCCTCCTTCCATGTCTTCTCTCTAACCCAGCCTGGGGAAGGTTCTCTGACTCCTGTGATTAGATGGGACCCACCTGGGTAATCCAGGATAATCTCATCATCTTAAAATCAGTTCCTTAAGCACATATGCAAAGTCCCTCTCACCATGTGAGATAACATATACTAGGCTCTGTGAACAGGAGGTGGGTATCTTGGTGAGCACATTATGCAGTACCTCATAGAGAAAATGCCAGAGGTATCCACAAAGCAAGTGCTGACGTTGCTGAATTACAGAACCCATATTTACAAACCTATCTACATGGCAGGCTTACTTGGTACATCTTCTTCCTCCAGGGATATCCAGATTCTTCTCTTTGACCAAACTCACTAGCCTAAGAGACTCTCTGACCAAACTTTCCTAGCAATATTCTTTATCACATTCTTGGGAGGAGGAGGTCTTATGCTATAGTGTCTTGCTAGAGTCTGCCTTTTACCACTCCTAACTCAGTTTGACCATTTCCTATGCATACACACAGCTTCTTGGGCCCCTTTTCAGCTTCTTTCCTGGGTACACACACATCTTCTGTAACTCTCTCTCCTGAATTTTTCTGATTGCCTCTGGGGGAAGAAACATTCTTCCTCTCTCTCCATCCCTTATTCTGTTTCATTTGTAAGCTAATCATTCCAATGTGAAAGCAGATTAAGAAACAGCTTATTTCCAAGATGAAGGTGCTTCTGTGCAGTTAGCTAATTCTAAATGGCAATGAGACTGAAAGAAACAGCTGGAAATTCTCACCTTAAAAAGTCAAAGCTTCAATAAACATAATCTGTACATCTGGCCCTGTGCTCTGAATTTTACACTTTTGTAGCATAGAAATCTATTATTATATCAGCACACCCCATATTTTGGCAGTTTGAATATGACTCTACCAGAAGCTTTGTATTCATTTCTTGAAACTGGATAATCTCACCCCAGTTTCTTGTTTTTAAAATATAGCAGGATGAAATGAATGACTGCTAATGCCATCCATCTATTTTCTAGTGGATCTTAAAATCAGTACACTGATCAGAAGCATTACTCATCTGTTGCTTTTTACCAAAGTGAGTAAGATGACCACCTTAATTATTAGCACCAACCAAACTTCTACTACAGGCGTTACCTTACCTTGCGACTTTGCCCAGACCAGCCCAAACCACAAAGAGTCATAAAATTATTATAAAGTCAGGGACCCTCTTGTCCCCCATTGAGCACAGTACCACTTTTATGAGAGTCAGTGAGGAGGCTGCTCAGTGTAGTGCTATTTACAATAGCAAAACTATGGGAACAACCCAAGTGTCCTACAATGTGGAGTTGGTTAAATAAACCAGGTGTATCCACAAAATGGAATATCTCACAGCCATTTAAAATGATGCTATAGAATGATAATTGATAGCACTGACAATTTTCTTACTATGCTTAGTACAAATAACTTAGAAAACAGTACATGTGATAGTATCTAAACTGTGAAAAATAGTCCTTATAATATAACTCCACTTATGGAAAATAACATAGATTACAGAAAAACCTGGAAGATATACACCAAAATGTTGTCTGTATAACCATTTCTTTCTTACTAGTGGAACTATAGATTTTTTTTCAGCATATTTGGTAAGGGGTATGTAATATTGGTAATCAATAAAAGTTAATTATTATTTTAAAAAATGTCAGTGGGGAACAATTCATCCCACTCTTTTTTTCTCAGAAACCCAGATTTTAGAAATGAGAAAGGAAGTCTTTGGTCATCTAATCCTCCCCCCTCGCCTGCCTCCCCAAGCTTCCCTGCTTGAACACTGCCAGGTCCATAGCCATGAACATTTAGAAATGTTTTCACGATTTTACTTCATTGAATTTAGTAACTTCATGAAGTGAGGTAGCTAAAGCAAGGAATAATCAGTTTTATCTGGAAACCAGAAGTACATTTGTAGACCTTAGCTTAAAAATACTACCTTTCCCAGAAATCCAGAACAATGTTGAGTCCCATCTATATGGGCTCCAAACCCCGAGGGAAAACCTTTTCCTCCAACCACTTGCTGACTTTTTGCTAATCTGAGCTCAGCCAATGAGCTCTAGAAGGCAGCTGACCGGAGGTAGGTACGAAATGGCAGTCTGCAGAGGGGACAAGCACTGACTCACCACATTCGTGAGAGGGGCCAGGCTGCTTCTTCTTCCTTTTCCTTAGTGTTAGAAAGAACACCAACACCATCCCACACAAAATGACCAACATTACAAGTAGAGCGGCAATCCAGAGGATGGGGTCTCGGGCAGGGGGGGGTTTCGTATGTGCATCTAGAAATGACCACAAGTTTTTAATCAGCCAGGAAGATTGATTATAAAAGGTTTATAATTACTGTCATCTTCATTTATAAGTCAGCATGTCCCCAGGGCTCTGCTGCCAGAGGAGCTTGAAATCCACGATATGAGGCCATAGAAGCCCCAGGCTTAGGGCCTTAGCAGCTTAGAACCAGTGCTTCTGGCCAAATGCCTGGACTAAGCTGTTTTCCCTTCCCAGAGGGTGGGATGACAATGACTGTGATCTAGAAGAAGAAAGCCAACCTGGCCCTTGGTTCTGCTTGTGGGTGTGGTACCCAGGCTGAAGCTTTAAATGTACAGTCATCTGTGCAACACCCTGCTTCCTCAGCCCATGTATAGCCAGGCCCGGGGTCCTGAAGTTTCCCTTGTAATAATTTCTCCATCCACTATCATCTCTAGATCAGGCTCCAGATACACCCCCTTTGAACAAATATAACAGCTGCCTACCTCCAGTTTTGCTTGTTTGCTTTTTCCACTGAGGTCACAGTGGAAGAAACAGGGCTTTCAGAATGTATCACCTACTAGAAAACCTTTGGTATCTCTTCATGCCCTGAGGAATCAGGGTTAGAATCAGTTCCTGAGAGGTCAGGACTTTCTTCCTTGCACGGGGACTTCTAAGTTTCCAGGAAGTTGAAAAACAGACTTTGGGGGGAAAGCTTAGAGCTGAGTGATCCGTTTTAAAGACATTTGTGGGACTCATTCTGATAGTTAATCTCAAATTATAGGAAAATAATACCAGTTGACCTATTAGTTTAGCTGCAGTTTGTGGGCACATACCCGGTCCTGGGACATTAGGAAAGGAGTTGCTGCATTGCAGGCCATATTCAACCCTCTTTGAGTCTGTCCTAGTTTTATCCCACTTGAGCCTGTTTGACATTCCCAGCAAATGGGGGTTATATTTGATAACATGGAGATTGCTACATTTTGACACCCAAAAAGTAACTTTGCTTCAGGATCTATACTATCTCTGGTCGAGCCATAGAACAGGGATACAGAGAGGCAAGCCCTGGCTTCCTGAGGCAGCCGGAGCTGAAATATTTCTGAAGTTGGTGGGAGCTGGGAAGGTTTGGGCAGTAGTTGAGAAACAACAGCAAGGTGAGCCATGATGAAGCTGCAGGGATGGCAAGGCCCTATTCATTTGTAGACTGTAGGAGCCAGGGCAGAGGAAACCATGGCAGAAGGTCCCAGGGCATGTCATCTGTGGTGCTGTTGCTGGCTCCAAACAGGATCTGAGCCTCAGGGATAGCTTGAGAGAGAAGCTTCTTCTTTTCTTTCTTTATCTCTCTCTCTTTTTTTTTTTTTTTTTTTTTTTTTTGGTTGGTGGGAGAAGGCTTCTATTAAGCCAAGGGAGGCCACAGGAGAAGAAATCAGGCTTCTGTGTAGCCTATTTACTGGCCTCTCAGAGGCAGAGATGTCTTAGCAGAAGGAAATCAGTACCAAGAGTAGAGATTGGCTCACTGGTCAAGCTTACTGAGAGGGACTGGCTCCAGGGGCTGTCCACAAGAATGTGTCCATAGACCAAGTTATGTTTGAACAATGAGAGAGCAGGAGAAAGAAAGCTGCGAGGATAAAGCAAGGAGTGAGCTGGATGCCTTAGGAGAGGGAAAACCAAAGGACCAGAATTAGAGAAGGGGGCTAAGGTAAGCAGAAGTCACATGTATAGGAAGAGAGGGGTCAGGATCAATAGAAGCAGTAATAGACGCAGTGCGGGTGCAGAGTGCCTTTATTCCAGGAGAGAAACTTGCAGTTACTTTTCCTCAAATGTGGGATCTCAAACATGGATGTTCTCCCAGGGTAAAGCCAGGACTTTAAAATGTTAGGCTTCTACAATGTCCACAATAGCCAAACTATGGAAAGAACCTAGATGTCCATCAACAGATGAATGGATAAGGAAGATGTGGTATATATATATATATATATATATATATATATATATATATATACACATACACACACACACACAATGGAATACTATGCAGTCATTAAAAGAAATGAAATCTTGCCATTTGTGACGACGTGGGTGGAACTAGAGGGTATTATGCTTAGCGAAATAAGTCAATCGGAGAAAGACAACTATCATATGATCTCCCTGATGTGAGGAAGTGGAGATGCAACGTGGGGGGTTTGGAGGGTAGGAAAAGAATAAATGAAACAAGATGGGATTGGGAGGGAGACAAACCATAAGAGACTCTTAATCTCACAAAACAAACTGAGGGTTGCCGGGGGGAGGGGGGTAGGGAGAGGGTGGTGGGGTTATGGACATTGGGGAGGGTATGTGCTATGGTGAGTGCTGTGAAGTGTGTAAACCTGGCGATTCACAGAACTGTACCCCTGGGGCTAATAATATATTATATGTTTATAAAAAATTATTTTAAAAAATGTTAGGCTTCTATTACTGGACGCTGTTTAGTTTCAACCCCTTCCTCCAGCTGGACTGGACCCTGTACTCTCTATCAACATGCTGCAAGAATTTCTGCTTCTTAGTCCTTCCTTGATACATACGACCACCACCACCACCTGTACCCATATCAAATACTGTTCATTGATTTTAGTCCTCCCACCTTCTAAGCCAGGATGCTGTCTCAGAATTTTTCTTTCTGTTCAGGAAACCACAAGTCTGATACCTGTCATCTCTTCACCATACTTTTATGTATTTTTTTTTAACTTTTTAAGAAGATTTTATTTATTTGAGAGAGAGTGAGTGAGCGGAAGAGAGAGAGCACAAGTGGGGGTAGGAGCAGAAAGAGAGGGAGAAGCAGATTCTCTGGCTGGGCGGGGAGCTGGACATGGGGCTTGATCCCAGGATCCTGAGATCATGACCTGAGCTGAAAGCAGACACTTCACTCAGTGAGCCATTCAGGTGGCCCTTCATGCTTTTAAAGCCCAGTTATCTTTTATGATGTTTTAAGGTCCCATTTCCTTTAGGAAGGCTTCTCTGGCCCTCAAGGAACCTACCTATCTCCAAATGTCTATAAAAACTGATTATCAGTCACTCTTGTTTTTAAATTTAGTTGTATATTTCCATGGGATATGCTTTAGATCCTAATTCAATCTTTTAAAAATCCAGTTTTTCATGTGTGTACATTCTGTTGGAAGGACTTGAGGGCAGAGAGCATGTCTTATACATTTTAGGATTCACGTCTACAGCCAACAACATCTAGAGTGACTCTGTACTCAAAGCATGTACCGTATATACGAATGGATGGCTGGAAGGATGGGTGATGATGACTGTGTGTGTGTGTGTGTGTGTGTGTGTGTGTGTGTGTGTGTATGGAAAGAATTCTAGCTGGAGGAATCTTGCATTTTCTGACTTAAACTTCAGAATCTTCTATCCAAAGGTAGCCCAAAAGACTGGGTCAGTTTTGGGGCTAAGAACAGAGTTCCTTAAGTGCAGCCTATGTTCATAGTCTCTGGGACCCTACAGCAACACTCAGATGAAGAGAGGAGCCCTCCAACTTGTTCCTTCCTAATAGTACCACAAAATGGCCCTGTTGGAGGCTTCCTGGCAAGCAGGACACATTGAATGATCTGCCTCAACCATTTGGGTATAATACCTGATGAAAGAAATAAACTTGGGAAGCAGCTTTACCTATATTGTAAGGTAGGGAGTGAAGCTCCATCGTCTCAAGTTTCAGGACACAGGTGATGCTCACATTGCTTGCTCCAGGGACTGAAAAAGACAAGCTGATAGAAACGTTGTAGAGTTCTGTGACATTGTTTTGAGATTTTTTCATGGCAGTATCATACTTAGTAGTCGAATTCTCGGTTTTTAGCTTAAAATACATTTCCTTAGGTGCTGGGTAACCTTCTACAGATGAGCAGGTCAAATTTATGATGCCAGAATTTTCGGTTCTATTAGAAGTTACCATTATTTCAGGTTGACTGAAGTTAGCTGAAAGCAGAATAAAGATACAAAAAAAGAAATCAGTCGATATTTAGATGTGTCCAGAAGACAACTGCAAATAACTGGCTCTGGTCTGGGAGCTTCCTGGGGGCACACTTGGGAGCTTCTGGATATCTAAAGTGTGGGCCTCAGCCCATGGCAAGAGCCACATACAGACCCCACATTTATTTTTCAGGAATGGAGTTTTGGGCCATGCTTATTTCCTGCTTACCCCAATCGGGGTGGGGAGTGCTCTCTGAGTGACAGGAGGGCTGAAATTGGGTCACCAAAGATTCACAGTGAAGTTATTGTTCTGAGGAGTGGAGTTTTGGGACAGAGAAGTAGTCTGACGTTAGAACCCAGCTGTCTCATGGGGTACGTTGCAGCTTGCCAGACTAAGGAAGTAGAAAGGGACCGACACTAACAGAGTTCATGGTGTTGGCATGCTCTGGGTCATATCTTCTAGAAACCCAAACAGGATAGTGTTAAGTGAGTGGATGGGGATTTTGGATTTAGAAATTCAGAATATTGGTTTTGGGCATGACTGTCAAGCTTTCTTCATCATGTACTATAAGATGAAGGCCAAACCCAGCCATTTTTAGGGAAAATATATGACCTTGATAAACATAGAGCTTTTCTTGCCCTAGTTTGCCATTCAGATTTGATGGCTGTTGGAGATCTCTGGCACCTAGCCCCTTCTGCTAGCAAAATCCTTGCAACTCTTCAAGAGTTACTGTAATTTTCAGGTTCTACATACGAATTTCTAATTTACTTTATTGTCTCTAAAACCGATGATTTGCATGTCACTTTTCTAAGTTTTCTGTATCAACACACTAATTAAGTACTCTGCTTGTACTTTATGTGGTTTATAGAAAGTTTTACCTCCTTTGGCCTCCTTAACAATATCTGTGAAATCACAGGTTGGATAAGTTAGTTATTGTTTTTCCTAATACGTTGAAATAAATATAAAATTGTTAAAATAAAAAAATGATCATGTCCCACCTAAAACATACCATGTTCCTCAATAGTATCTGGCCATACCTTGAACACACTTATTTATCACTTGGTTAAATGTTCCAAAAGTCCTGCAACCTCGTTTGAATCATACAAGGCTTAAAGGGAGGACTCCTCATTCTATTTCTACTTTTGCCTTTTCTTTATTCTATGGCTTCATAATCATTGCTGATCTGCCTTTTCCAGTTTCATCAAAAGTTAATATGAATCTAGTAATCGCACACCTGGGTATCTACCTTAGAGAAATGAAAACTTAGGTTCACACTTGTATATGTTTACAGCAGCTATTTATAATAACCCCAAACTGAAAAAAAAAAATCCCAATGTCTTTCTATGGATTGAGTCGATAAAATAGAATGCTCCTCAGTGATAACAAGGAATAGGTTTTTGATACATGCGACAACTTAGATAAATCTCAAAGGCATTATGTTGAATAAGAGAAGCCAATCTTAAAAGGTGGCTCCATTTATGTGATGTTCTCAAAAAAGATAAGACTCTAGGATGCAAAACAGAGCTTGTGGGTATGAAGAGGGCATGATCACAAAACAATAGCATGAAGAAATTTTTTTTGGGGTGATGGAAATGTTTTGTATCCTATTTATTGTAGTGGTTACATGAATCTATACATATGTTAACAGAAGTGTACATTAAAATAAAAAACAATTTTACTGCATTTTAATTAAGTCTGTAGTGACATTTAGGCTTTTCAAGGCTGGAAAAAAAGAGGAGCTGAATTGTCAGTTTGGGGATTATGTGTGCTGGGTTATTTCCCTTCTGTCTCCTGGGCTTTTGTTGGGCAACAAACAACTCATAAGTAACCTCCAGGAGGTTGAAGGAAAAACCCAAATCAATCAGCTGTCATCTTTGCTAGGAGCTCTAGGCAAAGACTTAGTGGGTAAGAAATCTTGGACCAAAGGGAAAAGATGAATGTAGAAGAGATCTGAAGCCTGTATAGTTATATAAATTTAGTAATGGCCAAATTACCCATTGTTTTCCCTTAGACACATTAACTTTGTTCAGTTAGCTCTAGTTTGTACCCAAAGCAAATTCTTACCAATCCTTCAGAAGCAAACTATAAAAAGTACAAAAGATTTTCAGTTCCCTATCACCGAACCCTGCATCCCTTCAAATGGATTTCCCAGAAATGGCTGTTTCCTGCCTTCTCTCTACAGGTTCCCCCCACATCTCCTCCTCCGCCTCCCCCAACATTGCTCTGCTCATTGCAGTCCCATTGGAGAAGGCCAGGGATCTGAACGTGCCATTGACTACATACCAAGCACTGATAGGTCAGAACTCATGTGATACAAGGGAACCAGTCCTTTGGGCCCTTTACGATGAATGAAACATTGATATGAGCCCTTGTCCTTGATCTGAATGTTGTGGAGTTTCAGCGTCCAATTGTCCTTGTCAAACGTTGTGCGGCCTTTATACTTGGGATGAACATTTTGAGGGTTCTCTTTCCCTCTGAATAGCTCATACAGAACCAGCTTATCCTGGTCCTGCCAAAATACTACCAACTCATCCACGCTTATGTTTTCAGAGTTTATAAAGAGGCATGGCAGTTCTCCAGTCTTGTTGAAATATGCTTGACTCTTCACAGAAGCAGCACCTAAAAAAGGAAAGGTAGAGATTAGGGAAGGAGAAACAAGATGGGAGAAGAAAAAAACAACCCCGTTTCTCTTTATACAGTACCCAGATGTTATCTTACCAGTAATGATACTGAAGAGCTAGGTATTAAACTCGGGAAAGTGCATACATACTGGCATCTGGAGAATGGGACTTTTGTCCTCACTCTGCTGCTAACTAAATGTGGGCCTTGTGCAAACTGCAACTACCATGAGGCTCAGTTTCCTTAATCAGTTTAATGAAGGGGTGGTCTAAGGGTTCCAAGAATCTTTCTAGTACTATGATTCTGTGAATTTAAATCCCATACCAGGGAAAAACAGCAGAGTTAGACAAGGTATCCACCCATCTGTTAACCTTTCTATAACCTGAATACCGATTCTCTTCACTGTAGATGTTTTAAGTTCCGTTACTTCTATGCCATTACCAAAAGCTCTCCCTTCCCCTCCCCACCCCCTTATTCCTTGGCCTGTTATACTGAAAAGATTTCTGATAGTGGTAACAAATTTAATATCTGCCCCCCTCGTTAGGCCTTACTAGTTGGGTATCACATTGAGTAATATATTTGAAATTCACATAGTTCCCGTTAGAGAGTTTTCCTCATGAATGCTGCTTCCATGGCCAGCTTGCCCAAGGATGTAAAACAGTTTGGAAATGACACAGTCAACCAAAGCCTCTATTTTCAGTGACCTCTCTAAGCTCTTTCAGGGATCAGAAGGAGAACTGGGCCTTCTGATGGTTGTTTTGGGATTGTGGTGTTCAAAGACCATTTAGCGTACATGAATGAAATGCTGGAAATGATTCATAGATGAGAAGGTGAGGATGTGCTTTTGGAGTATTGGGGAAACCCCAGGTACGAGACATTTGCTCTTCCCAGTATGCATTGCCAATGGAAATTTTTACAACTCCTGGAGGACATGCTGGGAGAGTTCAGAGAAAGGCTTTCACCCCTGAGGATGTATTGAAGTTTGTGGAAGTGATGTGTGCCACCTAACTCCTTAAATGTGATTGATTATAAGGTTTGTAGGACCTGTTCTGGGTCACAGAAATACTTGAGAGTTGGCCAAGAAATTAAATAGTGGTGGGTGAGAAGAGCAGGGTTAGTGGGAAATGCTGTTTCTTAGTTAATATAAAGTTAAATGTTGCCCTGGGGAAAATGTTAGGGTGGGTTTTGAATAAAGCTTCATCATTCCAGAATTCAGTGAAGAGTCTTGACATTAAGGGGGAAAGGGGAGTTAGGTTGGTGAGAGAGATGACAGGAGTTTCCTTTGAGGTGTTCTTTGAGGGCGGTAGGAGAAATTCAATTGATCTGATCAATGGTTTTCTCTTCTAAGAGGGGGTAGGACAAATAACAGTGACACGCACCAGGCAAAATTGAACTGTCCACAGAGTGGCCCAGTGAGAACACATAATCAAGAAGGTTGGTGGTGGTTTGAATTCTAAGGGAAGAGGACTCAGGCAACTGTGAGTCAGCACAAGCTCAAATCATTGTCTATTGCATTTTGCTTGCTAGAAGCCTATAAAGCACTTGGCAAGTGTAAAATGCAGCCTCCTATGTATAGGATGTGTTCCAGTATTGGAGGACGGTGGGAAAATTTACTGAGTACCTGGAACTGTGAAAGGGGAACAGAGGGAAGGTTTACTGTATTCAGCAATTGCCTTGCAAGGCAATCCTGGGGCTCCTGCTACTTCTTTGCTAAACTCTGAATGATAATGTAAGAGTGCCACCTGCTGTAAAAGCTTCTAGCGGCTTCATCTCTGGGGTAACTCATTCTGGTTTTAGAGCAGATGACCTAAGGGAGAAACCAAATTCAGAGCTGAAAATTCTCCCAGTTCACGGGTCAATGTTATATTATTGCTTACTGGTCAGTTGTACCTTCTGGGACTGGAAATGACTTCACCTTTGGCTTCTTCTCTCTTCTTGATTTATGACTATTTCTCTGCAGAACCTCACAGTATCTTCTTTCCTTCCCACCAACTTCTTCCAGTAACAGACCAGTCCCAAATCTCTGACTTAGGTTCCTCCGCCCAAAGATTATAAGGGCTTTTCCTTATACCCATCTGACTGCCCCACTCCTCACCTACCAATCAAAAGTGTGGTTTGTGTTCTAAAGCATGGGCATCACCAGGGAGCTGGTCAGAAATGTGGACTTTCTGTCCCCTCTTCCCCAGCACACCTGCTGTTCAGAATCAGCATTTTAACAATAGCTCAGTTTGAGAAGCTTCAAGAGAGTATCTCTACCTCTGTTTCCAGAGTAGAATAGAGAAAGTAATGATAGGAAAAATTTGTTCCTGTCTCTTCTCCTTCTCCCCTCACTCTGGGGTGGAAATATCACTGAGGTCCATTTTGAGTGGAACTGAAAGTATTTCACAATTTATACTCTTTAGTTCCTCACCAACCACTGCCTTCTGTGACATCACTCAGAGCTATACACGGTGCACATCATGCTGATTCCTGATGATGTAGGGAAGATTTATCTCAAGGAGGCTTTAGTCTTCCCCTGTAATGGCACCACATCTTAGGTCACCCAGCTCCTGGAATCACTGGGACTCCATTGGTGGGTGCCTATTGAGATACTCTCCCTTGCCCAGGACTTGGGTAATAGAAAATTCTGGGTCTAATTATAACTAATTTGTTGCTATGATGATGTCAGGAGCCAGGCACACAAGATCCGTCTAGACAACTCCCTAACCAGATAGAGAAGTTTGTTCCTAAACAATATACTGTTTGCATGTTACACAAAAACTGTAGTCTTCTAACCTTGTGAGATCTCTGACTACCCCTGGGACTTCAGTCTTCCCTGGCCATTACCCCAAATGCACATCTTATAAATTCAAGAACCATCTTTTCCTCAAGTTACTACAGTCATCTGTACTCATAAATTTTTCCTCTCTTACTAAACTTTCTTCAAAGCTTTACTAGGTCTTCTGGAAATCTCGTTCCATTATAATAAACTCCTCTGTATCTTCAACCTCTCCATCAAATATGTCCCATAAGGTTATGCTTTCATTGAAATCTGGCCCTACCTAAAGGACAACCCTTGTCCTCAGACACTGCCTGTTTTACCACTTGAGTAACAACATCCTTCCCATTTTGAGGTGCCTACCTCTCTCACCGCTGGTCGCTACTAATCATTTGTCATTACTTCTCTGTTCACTGAGGATTTTGGCAGTCGACATAAGGTTCTTCTTTCCAACCAACTATTACTGTCAGTTTGAGCTATTTCAGCATGGATAAATTCACCAACAACCTTGCTTCAAAGTTCTTTGGTCTTTACCATTTCAAAGATCTTCATCCATAGGCTATTTCAGCAGCTCCTGTCCCATGACATAACCTTGAACCTTTTCACCAAGAACAGCTCTAATCCTAAAATCGTAAACCTCAATGAACCCTATCTCTGTCCACAAGATGTCTCCCTCCAAGATTTGCCCTTTATTACTCCACCAACATTTGTTCTTTGACTTCTTCAAGACTTCAGCTCTAGTCAGTTTAGCCCCTGCAGTGCCCTGCTTTTCAAAAGGCTTCTCTGCAATATTGGAAATGTTCTATATTTGTGCTGACCAACGTGAGAGTCACCAGACACTGTAGCCATTGAGCACTTGATATGTAGCCAGTGTGACTGGGAAGGTGAAATTTTAATCTTTTAAATTTTTAATTAATTTAAATTTAAGTGGCCCCATGGAACTAGTGGGATTCATATTAGATAGCACTGCAATAGTATACCTTTCCAATCATTCTGTTGCCAAAAAACTTGCCCCTTTGTGCAGAATTCATCCTAAAAACACTTCACTTTTGATCTACATGCTAGTTCTTATAACTAAATGTTTGAGCAATACTGGAGGAACTTACTCAGTTGTTCAGACTGATGATATCACAAATCTGTTCCCATCCCATTTAATTTGTTCTGTGGGCTGGTTACCCTGCTTACTACCCTCTCCCTTCCTCATCGTAGTTACTTCAGCAATTCCCTTTGCTAATGCTTTTAGTTTCTTTTTCTCTTATAGTCAAACTCCCTAAAAGAGTAAGTAGCAATCGCTGCCTCCACCCCCAGCCTCTGTACCCAACCTCGGCGCCAAAACTTCCCTCACAAAGGTTGTCAGTGACTTCCCACCAGTGCCAAATTCAGAGCTCTTTTCAGACCTCCTGTTATTTGACCACTCTGTTGAATGTCACAGTGTTGGTCTTATCTACTTCCTGAAACTCTCTTCATTCCCATTCTCTGACCTCTTGGTCAGTTTTCTCTGATCACTCCTTAAATGCTATCTCAAGTACCTGTTCTTGATCTTCTCCTTACTCTCCGCTTTCTCTGGTCTTTCTCTTCTATCCCCCTGGATTCAACTGCTAACTATAAGCTAATAATTCACAGATGCTTATTTCCAGCCAATCACTCGCCCTAGAGCTCCAGATATCCATATTCAATGTTTTGCTGGATACTGCTGTTTATATAGCAACAGATACTCTCTTCCTCCCCTGTCCTCCATCTCAGTGAGATGGTCCCCCACTTGCTGCTGTCAGTACTTATGTGAACCATCTGTAGAAAGGGTCTGCACAGATGTGGCTGAGGAGATGTAAAGCTATGATAACCAGAGCTAAACTCTAATATGGGTAAGAAAAGGGTGAGGAGACAATATGAAGCAAAAAAAAAGGGTACCAGAGAAAAAGGGTTTTGTGTTTATCCAGAAATCTTGCAGACATTGTCTTTTAGGTATGACAAAAACTTTTTGCTTGATCAAACTTTATTCAGGCTCCTAATCCACTCCTCAGTCCATCTGTGCACATCCTTGTAAAACCCAGTTATAGGAGGAACCCTGCTAAGAACCCAGTTTAACCAGAATCCCCAACCTTGCTACCTGATTATGCTTGAATCTGATCGGTTCCTCATCTTCCACAATCCCCAAGGTGATGTCTGTTTGCCCTGGCCTGTCTTTAGCAAGAATTAACTGGGTTTGGGCAGAATCCCTCCTTATCCTTATTTCCCCTTAGTA